TTTTGTGTTGAGCTACTTTAATTCTCATTGATTTGCATAATTGATTAAGTAAATTGCAGCAATATACTGAAATGAGCCAGGTGATAGTTGGACACATCCAACCCATATACAAAGTAAGTGCAACTTCAATATTGCCAAAAATTATAAATAAATCATCACTAAATAGTATAATATTTCTGACGCATTGTGCAAATACAATAATTGTGTGAATTAGCCAGATTAACAATGTTACACATAATGGCCAATCAATTGGGTTTGTCATGCGAGAATAACTGCCAAGTTTACGGTAAAAAGTGTACCATAAAGTAAAGCCATAACGGTTTAAAAAATATATCACGTACAATTTTTGGGCCCGCATTATAATACTTACATAAAATATTATCTTAGTGACTGTTTTACCCACTGATTTGTCTAGGTTATTTTCCGATACTTTACTTAAATCAAGTAAATAGATGAAGATCACATCAAATAATATTGATATCCCAAATGCCATATAACCGTAATATCGCCATAATTGATTAATGTAGATTTGTCCCCGATTATCAAAGTCTAATCCACCATATGTTAATCCTTTAGCCTATTAAACCACAATAGTATAATTGCTAGAATATTGACATGTTTATTTATAATAATCATTATGAATATTAAAACTACAAAATGATATTTAGAATATGCCTCTTTTATTAATATTTGATATACGTATTATTTATTAATAAGTTATTTTATGAAAATAACATTTCAAGTGACGTATATTATTAACAAAATACTTATATAACTCGTGATAAAATATCAAAGTCAATAAAATGAAATGATATTTACCTTATTTTATTTAGAAAATAATTTTGATATATACAATGTTCTAATATATATTAATAAATGTTATTACTTTTCTAATAAAAATAATTATTTTCTAAGTTTATGAAAACGGATATAAATACAGCACGGGCCGTGACATACACTTTAGGCGCCCTAAGTAATCATGATCGTTTTATGTAAAATAAAAAATAAACTCACAAATTATTATAACATTCACAAAAAACCTAGATGGCCTGATATGCAATCTATACAACAAAGGAGTTTTCTTATATTAGCTCAATTATATTTATTTGAAATAAATTGTGTTTGCATTTTACAAATAATTTCTGTATTAATTAAATTATTGTATTTTAATTTGTTATTTATTAATTGTTAAATTATTTTAATATAGTAAAGTTCTGATAAGCCTTACGATTTATCATAATGATTAAGTTATTTAAATAAAATAGTGATTTTATGTAACAAAAAGTACAATTTATTTAATGTCATGTTTATTTGCTTCTTATATTTCTGTAACAAAACAATTTATATTGTATAAATAAAAATACATTTAATAAATTATTTATTCTGTGGATAGAAATAAATACAAACAACATTTAATCAAGAAAGATAAATATTATTAATGTTGCTATTATTAATATTAAATTTATTAATTAAACAACAAAGTTTTTATAAACTACTGTGTATATTACTACAATATATAAGTAAAACATAAATCAAAACACATTAAAATGGCCTACAATCTAGATTCAATGTTCTTACCAATTGCCAGGTTCATTTTACACTTATTTAAAGGGACAACAATAACTTTTGGTGGGCTGTCTATAAACGCCGATGGTCGCATTTATGTCAGTAGATTATGGAAATACATTGGTTATATAATCACCATTGTGACCATTACGGTAACAGTTATCATACTTGTTTATACTGCAATCATGGACCATGATGGCAAATTATTTGGCGAACTACCCTTCTACGTTCTTGCATTATGTGATTGCCTTAATCTATTGCAACGTTCACAGCGTGTATATCTCATATACTACTTGAATCGCTATGGATATGAGTTATTTTCAATATTTATTGAGAACCTGGGCAAATATCTCAAAAGTTTACCCAAATTAAACGTCAAGATAATAGTAATTATAATTGCTTGGCTAGCACATTCAATGTTGATATGCGCTATAAGCATTTATATATGCATGTCGGTCAATCGTCTGGTATACCATCTTACTATAATTGAAACCAACTTACTATTTAGCCTATCCTGGATAGTGCCCAGTATTGTCTGCATTATGTCTATATATTGTTGCCAATTATTGGATGTTATTATTAAACAATTAAATTCTTTACAAGGTAATTCATTGTTATTTTTGGTAAAAACAATAAACTATAATATTTATATGTTAATAATAATTTAATTATTTGATAATTAGTGTACCCCTAACAATAAAAAAATATTTATATATTAATTATGCTAAACAAAACAATTTGATTATAATGATTTAATGAAACATTTTTCAGGTAATCAAAAAACAAAATCAGAAAAATTAATCACTGATTGCAAACATATAGTGATTAAAATTATAAACACCATCTCTTCATTGGACCGCATGATAGCCACCTATCAAATAATCAATGCCATCGCAACCGTATTCACAGCAATGATGGCTATATTTACTATAACCAGAGCCGGTGAATATGATGTGAAGGGTGGCATGAAAATGATTATGATGTTTGCCAGCGTTTCATACCCGGTACAATTTATTGTCACATGTCTTATATGCGGTACAGTTGGCGATCGTATGTTTGAATTGAACAAAACCATAGATTGTATTAATGTCAGCGATTTGTCAGATACCGGGTATAAGGAATTGAGTATGTTTTCAAACCTAATGCGAACTATAAGGTCATCTGGCTTTACTATCGGTGGTTACGCTACGTTCAATAGACACACACTTATAACAGTAATATAACTTTACTATTTTAATACTTGTATTAAATTTTATTTTGTTTTTTTAAATAGATTTTTACATTCTTTTTAAACTATACGGTAATTCTACTTCAAACACGTTAATGAACATGGTCTGTGTTGAAAAATTATATTTTATTTAAAATATTTTATTTTCAAACAAACTGTAACGATTTATCAAAATAAAAACTAATAAGCAACCGGACAGACAAGTATGTAATGATGGTTAAATTATTTTTAGTGAATGTTATGTTTTCAAAACATTTTAAAATAACATTTGCATATGATATGAATTGAATGATATAATATTAATACTATAGTTATAGCAACAGAATAAAAGTTAAAATAATATAAGTACCATTTTATCGTAATATTTTTTATTTTATTTTATTATATAAGAATGATTAATTTATAGAAATTTAAAATTTTTTGGTCAATTTATGTTAATTAAATACATGCTGATATTCAGTGTCGCAAAAAGTTTTAATTAACTAGTTTAGCTATACATTTTTTTGTGACTCCAAATCTCTTTCCAAACAACTAGCTATTTTGCTACTTTGTAATCTTGATAAAGCGTTTGAAAATAAATTACATGAACAAAATTTTAAACTAGGTGTAAGCTTTGCGACACCTTGCTCATATTCATCAGTCAAGTAAAAATAGGTTATAAAAAACAATTGTGTTCTTTCTATTTGAATTAAATGTATTTAGTAAATGTTATGATTAATATAAACAATATAGTTTATGTAAATGTTTAATATATTTATTATGAGTGAATAATATTATCATAAATATTATTAGGAAACAGTAAATTTATTTATTATAAATTGATATTATTGTATTTCAAACAATAAACTGAATAATATATTATACAGTCCATTATCGTTGCAAAATTACAAAACACAATAAAATGGCCTATCATCTAGATTCAATGTTTTTACCAATTGCAAAGCTATTTTTAATTCAATTTAAAATGTTCTCGATAACATTTGGTGGACTTTCCATAAATGAAAATGGCCAGATTTTTGTTAGTAACTTATGGAAATACATTGGTTACTTATTTTTTATTATAAATATGGTTGGACAGTTTATGATATTAATCTATACATTGATACTGGGCTATGATGGTAAACTATTTGGCGATTTACCCACCTTCATTTTTGCACTACATGCTAGTGTAAATCTTTTGCAGCGTTCACAACGTGTGTATATTATATATTACTTGAACCGATACGGCTATGATTTGTTTGCAATATTTATCGGTAATCTTGGTCAAGAACTCAAATATCTACCGAGATTTAGTGGTAAAATTATAGCAATTCTTGTGGTCTTGTTTGTATATGGAATTGCGATTAGTGCTATCAATGTTTATATGCTAATCGGGGTCACTCGTCTAGTATACATACTTACAATTCTGGAGACCAGCTTGCTATTCAGTCTATTATGGATAATTCCTAGTATAATTTGCATCATGTCATTATACTGTTGTCAACTTCTGGATACTATTATCTGTCAACTTAAGGGTTTACATAGTCAAGGTAATTATAGATTTAGTTACTACATAATATATTTTACCACATACAAGTAAAAATTTACAGATTTTGTGCAGACACCCATATCTTGGATTTTAATAAATATATTATAAATTATGCTCGATGCTAGTGATATAATTGCCTAGATTATGTGTTAAGTTTAAACATCCATGTTTTTAATATACTTATGTATTTAATATACATATGTATTTATTTTCCTTTAGGGAATCAAGTAATAAAATCCGGTAAAATCCTCATTGGATGTAAACGCGTAACACTTAAAATTGTAACCACAATCGATGAGTTAGACTGTAGGCTAGAAAATTTTCACACGATCAATACCATCGCAACAATATTTACAGCTATGGTGGCCAATGTTACCATACTCAGGTCAGGTGACTATCACATCAAGGGCGGATTGGATATCATCCTGATAATTGCCAGCGTCTCCTATCCCATACAATTTGTCGCCACATGTTTTATATGCGGTTCAGTTGGCGATCGTATGCGTGCGTTGAACAGGGCTTTAGACAGCATTAATGTCACCGATTTGTCCGATAGTGGCTATAAAGAGTGGCACATGTTTTCAAACCTAATGCGAACAATAAGGACATCTGGCTTTACTATCGGTGGTTACGCTACGTTCAATAGACACACACTTATAACGGTAATAATTATTTCAATTAAATAACTTTAATCTAACATTAAAAATTAATTTGCATTTTAGATTTTTACATTCTTTTTAAATTATACGGTGATCCTCCTTCAAACACGTTAATTATGGTGATTTATTTTTGACTGAAAATGGTAAATTCAATTGTATGTTTATTTTTAATAATAGTATAAATTTTATACATTGTATTGTACAATGTTATTTATTTATGTACAAACACTACGTTAGAAAAAAACTATATTACCTACTGGTACTACAGGTAATTGAAATATTTATAATTATGTTGAATATTCTTTGAAGTCTTGTAATGTGTGTATAATTATATTTTTATTTATTATTTGTGCTATGTTATAACAAGCAATTTAACAAATCATAAAATTGGCTAAAATTAAATATTAAATACAAACAATATAACTAACAATGCATCAACTGGAACACGTTAATCAAACCGAGATTATGTTTAAACATTAGTAAACAAATAACATTATATTGATTTTTAAACATGTTGCTTTAATATGCAATCATAATAATTAATATTGATCACTATAAATTAGTTTTTATCAACTGTTATTATAAATACGAATTATATATATAACTCAATTAATTTTAATTTAACATGGAACATCCACTAAATCTCATTCTTAAATTTATTATTTATGATAAATAACAACAATATTATAACACATGAAATTTAATTAGATTGATAATAAATAGATTAATAAATTAAATCAATTTATTAAATTATTATAATTTATAATAAATATCAATTCATATTCATTATTTAGTCCATAATTGAACATAAAATTAATTAAATTAATTTTTTAAATGTGTTATGCTTTCTTTTAACAATATTTATTTAAAAATTTATTTAAAAATTTTTACAACAAAATAAAACACAATTAAACTACAGTACATACGTTTAAGTAATACATGTAAATATCATTTAAGCAATAAGTTTTTGGGTTATACGCAATGAGTTATAATTTATAACTTATAAATGGGTTTTCATTAAAATAATAAATAATAAAATAGTAATTAAAATTAATAAATTAATTGTATATTTTCTGGACATTTTGCAATCTTTATTTTATTTTATTAAAAATTACAATTTAATGGAAACTACGCTTAAATAAAAATATACTTAAGATTAATACTACAATGATAAACGTACAATTCAATAAATAACCATGGTAAACATCGGGCTCTGTAAACGTCCAACCTCTCACCATTATATTACGAAATGATTGTATTGGGATTGTTATTGGACTGGAGTATGCTATGAACCGATACAATGGGTGAATGGTCTCAATGGGCCAAACGACACCCGATATGGTTAACACCATACACATTATGCTGCAAGTAGCAACCTAGCAACATTAAAATACAAATTATGTTTTAATAATAAGTAAAACATGTAAAGTATATTATTATTGTAAAGTAATTATTTAATAATGTATTTTGTGTACAATCGAGCATGTTTCACTAAAAAATTATACTTTGAAACTCAAAGTTAATTTCCATTAATTCATATATTTAAAACTATACATATTATTTAAAACTTTATTTATATATTATTTATAATTATTCAAGCAAAAATAAAGAAAATGTAATGATTAATTAATTTACCACTACGGAAATGGGGTCGGCCAGAATAATAGCGAGCAATAAACCGGTAAAAATTCCCACTAAATTTTCGATAAATAAAAACAGGAATATTTCCCAATAACTTCCCGATTGTTGAACGGCAAACACTACAAACACAAAGAGCATAGAGAGTAACACTTGACCGACACTAATGATACCGTTGATAAGTATATGAGCGCCCATATACTCGTACTCAGTCACGCCGGACACAAATACCCGGTTCATTACGTTCGTCGATTTGTCGTTTACCATGATGAACGCCGATAAAAGCATACCCCAAATAAATTCCATAAATATAAACATTTGCGGTCCGAGAAACATAAACGTGACACCCACTTTGCTCAAATCGCCGTTAAACACCTCGATGATATTTATTGTAGATAATTGCTCACTTATTCTTGTCTTATTTAACATTAGGCCTAATTTGTCTATGAATTTATTATATCCAGTTAGTAGATATTTAACAGCCATATAACCAATATGTATGTCTATTTAGAATAAAACAATAAAATGTTAATTTATTAAACATTAAAATTTTACAATAATCAGCGTTGTATTGAGTTTTGGGAATATTCAATAAAAACACAGTGATTATTAATCACTTAGTAGTCCATTGAATACTCACCCCAATTCACTTATAAATAATTACTTGAAAAGTCCACATAGAGATGAATAATGCCATTTTCAATGGATTCATTGCTGGCGTCAAACATATCAGTTACTCGTGTCTCAAAATTGTTGGAAAAGTTGTCCCGAAATTCAAACACCAAATAATTGCTGCCATTTATAACCGACTTAACGGCGCTATCACTCGATGGGTAATGAGATAAACGCACATTATTTAAATCCAATGAATCAATGAATAAACGTGATAATGATGTTTGATTATCATTGATCACATCGCTATTATAAACGCCAAACGGTATGTGCTTAATGTCTTGGGTTATTATCATGTTCATCGCTATTATACCTATAATGGTTAGGCCATAATAGGCGCACACAAATAGCGGCCGCCGTTTAATCATAATTGTTTGCTTTATTAACATTGCTTTCATTCGCTGCCAATCAATAAATGCATTGTTTTTGTAATTTATGTTTTCCTCAATTGGAGTTATAATGTCATTATTGTCTAAATAAATGTTTGTATTGCCCGAGCATTTCGTATCTTTATTTAAATTATCGGTGTTTTCTTTAGAGTGACACAACTGTAGGAACACGTCCTCCAGTGTCGGGCACTGGTATTCATCCATCAATTGTTGGGGATTTGATTGTCTCAATACAGCGCCTGACATAATAAAAGCTACGTTATGCGCACTCCGGGCCTCTTCTATATAATGTGTTGTTATTATCACTGTTTGGCCTAAAATATAAAGTAATATTAAAATATATATTTAATTTGTGCTCATTTCATACCGTATTTATCGCACATATTTTCCAAGTATTGCCATATCCTATGCCTGAGCAGAGAGTCCACACCAACAGTGGGCTCATCCAATATAACGAGTCTGGGTTTGTGTAACATTGTTATGGCGATCGACACCCGGCGCTGTTGTCCACCACTTAATTGACTAATTATTCGAGAATTTTCCGGAAAATGCAATAATTCTCGTAAATTATTAACGCTTTCATCAATTTCTTCGCGTGTCATGTGATATATCATTGCGTAATAATAAAGTATTTCTCCAATTGTGAAATAATCAAATAACGCCAACTCCTGAGGCATATACCCGACACCCGGTCCGGGAATACCCAAACTTGCTGATCCTGCCATTTTACCAAACACCTCAATTGTGCCCGATTTTAATTTTAATTGTCCTAATATTACACGCATTAATGTTGTTTTTCCCGTTCCGTTTGGGCCTAACATTGCAAATATTTTACCTGTAATTTGAATATAATATAAATATATTTAATATTAATACAATTGATATATCAACTAAATTAATATACAGTAAATAGCATTTAGCAAATAGCAATTTATATTGTTGTTAAATAAATATTTTACAATAATTAAATAACGTTTATCTTACCTTTAGGTATTTTCATCGTTAAGTAATTTAATATTACATTATTAGTTTTATAACTAAATAAAGCATCTTGTATATTCACCGCCATTTATTATAAAAAACTTTTAATTATGTTTGCAAATTATATTCAAGTAGAGTTTATCTTGTAGTGATTTGCCTGGGCTAACCAAATTCCAACTTGATAGAAAAAGTAGACATTTATTTAACTTTCTAAATGTTTGCAAATTATTAATTTAATTAAATAGCGATTACAATTGTTATAAATAAATGTAACTTTTTTAATTGTAACACTATGTAATGACTCATTATTAATGAGTTAAATATTATGGCTGTAAACTATACTTTAAAGTTTAAACTTTCTAAACATTAGCATCTCACAATATCTTGGTTGAGCGCATAATTATCCTTGGTTTTTAAAATTGAAAACAACCTTCAAATTACCTGATAATTTAGATATAGTTGATTATTATAAAAGTATGCTATGTATTTCAGTATTTAATTATAAATAAATGCTAAAAATTTTTAAATTCTTATATTAGTTGTTAAAAGCATAAAAAATTATTTTCTGTAAACCTGAAAAACATCTTATTAATACTAAAGTACATTTACTAAATTTAAATAACGTAATATAATTCCCTGAAATCAAAATAAAAAACTACATTTAATATATTTTGTTGAATATAATGGGTAAATATACAGTTGTATTAATGATATAATAAAAAACAATTTTTTAAAAGTTTTGAAGCTTTTTTATTATGCTAAAAATTCTACAATTATTTTTACATACTTGTAAATATTTATACATGTATGTACATGTTGACGTGTAAGGTATTATGTATGTAAAGTACATTCATGTATACAGTAAGTATGTAATTCATCAAATCAGTTGCTATTATTTATTACCTACACTCAGTTCCAAAGGAATAGGACCAGTAGAATTCCATAGGATTCCATTGGAAGTGAATCAAAAGTATTGGCCCAAAAGTTAAATTTATAGTAAATTAACAAAATTAAAAAAAATTCTTTTGTAGTTGCAAGTAAATGATTGCCATGATTAATAAAAAGTACTTTGTAATAAAGTTTAATTGTATTTTAGACCGATTATTAGAATAATTTTTACATTATTTAGCGTTGGGTCTATGGGAGATGTTTGTCATTGTTTGGTATCAAAAAACTTAACTCCTAAAAAATTCGGTATTATTATAACATCATTTTATAGTACACCCCAAATGTATTAATTTGATATGCTACATGGCCCATTTGACTATTAGACATGACAGCAATTACGCAACAAATATAGCCAAAAATACCGAATTTTAAAATATGAAAAAATATTAATACTTACAGCAAGACCGTATAGCATAAATTTGAACCCAGTTATAAAATGAGTTCCAAAAATATATCATTTATTTTCGTAACTCTTATATTGGTTCTGTGAAATCAATTTACTTTTTTTTGACCACTTTTGATTTTACGTAATTGTGGTCAAGTCTAACAGTCAAATGGGTCGTGTAGCATATCAAATTAATTATATTATCGAGTACTACAAAATGGCGTTTTAATAATACTGACTTTGCTACAGACAAAAAAGTTTTTTTCGGGACGTTTTCTAAAACAACTAAAAATCCCTTCTCTGATCATTATTTTAAAAAATACTTTAATGCAATTAATAACTGGATAATTACATTATACAACAGTGAAAAGTTTGATGGTCTAGTTCAAGTAGTATTTCTGTACTAATATCAAACGTTTGGTCCTATTCCTTTAGAACTGAGTGTAGAAAGTTAATTAAGCAAAAGGTCATGTAAAAAATAATTGAATGTTTTCAATTAAAAATAATTACATTAAATATGATTTTTTAAATGACTTTTATTTGTGCAATTTTAATATTAAAAATAAACATATTAGTTTAAAATTAAATAGTAATTTTAAATTTTGTTGTCTCCTGTTTGCATTAAAATAAACATATTATTTAATACAAATGTATATATCTGTTTAAAAAATATTGATTATAATTAATTACACTATTTAATAAAATAAATTTATTTACGGCAATTAATATTAATTTATTAAGTCTAGCAAAGCCTTCAATAGTGAACCCAAACGAACGCGTATTTTGTACGACATTCGCAAACATAAGCCACTCGTGATATTCTGTGTTTGACAACCGACTGGCGTTTATATCGTCTAAAATCGTCACAACTTTACAACATTTATCCCAAACTCGTCCGCATATAAAACACGACGCAATCAATTGTATAGTAAATGAAACACTATTTATAGCTCATAACATGGCATAAACAGCAATAATAGGCATATCTTTGACGAGGATAGCAACGAATATGCAGTACATTATATGACCCATGAAAAATTAGAACCGGCTTAACTTTTTCATTAGGTTTAATCATAACTTTAGTTTTGAATTCAACCATTGAATCAACTATTATAAATGAATAACACAAAAAATATGCAAAGTTTAATGTAAAAGTTAAGCCGGTTCTAACTTTTCATGGCTCATATAAAATATTGTGGTTATAATATTTATAATTGATATAGTTGAGAATTGTTTGTCCAATAAGTTGATTGTATTGTTAATAACAATAAAGGTGCGTTTGTAATATTCCAAATGTAGCTTGGTTATGTTGTCTGGTTGTCTTACATTTCAATACGTAAGAATATATTTTATTATTTATAATAAAACCTAACGTTATAATTAAATAAAAACTTTGCTTAAAATTTTTACTTATATTTCAAAACTATCTGTAATCAAATATGCAATAATAATAGGGGTCAAAGTAAATTCAGAAAGATTTTTTATTTTTCAAGGCGGTGGTCGATCAGAGTTGGCAACCCTACTAATAGCTGAGATCCGAGTCTTTTTATTGCCACCAAACCTATGATTATTAAACATGAAACTAATGCCCACATCATTGGTCTTCACAATCAAACAGATTAACGCAAACACACGCCAGAAGAGGGTCTGCACTACGAGTACAGTGAGATTAAAGTGAAAGCTGTCTTCGCGGAGATCCATACGGTATAGTATGGCTGAGTATCGGTTGAGTGCGGCCGGGCATCTGTCAAAGCCGTAAATGGCATAGATCTGGGCCTCAATCGTCGCCTTAACATATGTCATGTTTGCAATGAATCGCATGACGGCATTCATTTCCGCGACCGGCATTAGAAACCCGCTGAACGCCGTATTAACGAGATTACCGCCGATCCCTAATACAAGGGTTGTCCGCAAGTTTTTGGTCGCTATGATACTGACCGCGTAGGACATGCCCTGACAGCACAGTGTCGACAATGACATTGATAGCAAGTAATAGCCTAAACAATGGCAAATGTCATCAAAATATTTACTAAAGTACATTTAATTATAGTAATTAAGATAAACTTACCAAAGCGTTTGCCAAATATGGTGCCCATCTGTCCGGTCACTAAATATGTGGCAATCGTGTAGAATATGGTGACCAAAATGCCGAGAAAGCCGTCGACCAAATTCTTGGCCCAATAGTAAGCACCGGAAGAATATCACCGATTGTGCTGTTCGTTGAGGAATATGTTCACTTCCGCCGGAAACGTCAATATAGTAAAACATAACTGAAAAAGTTATGCATTAATACAATGCAGAACAGGAACATAAAGTTCTTCATATATTGGGGCTCTTTAACGCTGTGGTCAGCAATTGGTACACATGTTATGTTTTGGGGCTCATATGGGTTATAGGGTAGGCACCCGTCGTCCCCACCGACCCGACCAAACAGTATACCCGTTGACACGCCTTTCAACACAAAAGTAAAAGTTGTTTTAAAAAATCAATAATTAATTAATAAATGTGTTTGCGTTTGAATACCGTTTATCACTTCAAACAACGTTATGAAGACAAATGTTTTCCAACCCCTAATGATTTGACTCATTCCTGTCCTCATCATTAGGTGCCAGAAGGCGTTCAAATTGAATCTAATGGACTCGTTGTTAACGCTCTTTACATCGCATTTGCGGCCATAGGCTTCACATTTGGACCGCAACTCTTCCACCGATTTGTTCGCCCGTTTGGTCATCGCTTTGATCTCTTCGGACACTTCAAACTCATCGCAATGTTTTGCGTTGAATGTGGTCTTTGAGGCCATTTTGATGAGCACTTCGATGGGCACCTGTATGGCAGTCATGGGTACGTTCAGCTTCTGGAGGAAGTCACGGATACCGTCGGGCTTTCCGTTGTATACATTATACCCGCCCTTTGAAAGCACATACAGCGAGTCAAACATCATTAGTATATCGGAGTTTGGCTGATGTATAGTCGTTATAATACCGATCGAGTGGTCACGACATACGTTGCGAAGACAATCAATGACCTGTCCGTTAAGGGAACGGGAGATTAGCCTTTGGGTCCAATGGTCTGACACTACCTTAAAAACAATACCTGTTCTGCGGCGTTGCTGTCGAGACCAGAGGTGGGCTCATCGATGCACATAATATTGGGCTTGTATTTGCCCACCAGTTCCAGCGCAATGACAATCCGCTTCTGTTGGCCACCACTGCAATCGCCAACCAATGTGTCGGCGCAGTCACTGAGGGTCAGGTCTGACAATAGTTTCTTGATGTTTAGGTTGTGGTCAAAAGAGTGGTGTTCTCCCATCGGACCCGGAGTGGAGACGAAGAGTCGGCCATCATTTGGTGGTTTGTCGGACACGAGTGACTCGTTGTGGTTGAAGGACTGGTTCTTGATTTTGGACGCATAAGATACGGACTCTCTCACCGTTAACAGCATTAACAGATGTTCCTTCACGTCCTGTACTATAAAACAGGACTGAATGGTTTGGCGGGCGCTGACGTACACATCCGTCTCGTCGCTCAGACCGTTCCCAATCCGGCCATTAATGCACCGCAAAAGTGTCGACTTTCCTATTCATAGCAATGATATTACATTTTATAAAACTTTGATTGTTTGTTATTATCTCTCAAATAATATTATATAAAAATTATGTAGACTTTTCATATTTATTTGCAATTCCTGTATTAATTGAATTTTAAATTATTTGAACTATGTAAAATATAGCAAGTTAATTTTTTTTAAAAATCTCAACCAGTTATAATTAACTAAAAAAATACTAGATGTAAGTAAAAACATACCACAACCACTCGGACCCATCAAAGCGACGATCTCTCCAAACTTGATTTGTCCGGAAATATCTCTCAGTATTGTCTTATGTGTGTTTGACATGAATTTGTGGGGCGAATACGTCAACCCAATGAACGCCAACCCAAACTCCATGCGTTCGGCCACCGAGTGGTCAGTCGTGGACTTTGTGACTCTGGGACTGATCATCGAAGTGGACAATCGATTCGACTGTTCATACATTCTGTTTCGGTCTAATAATGTGTTGTTACTGTTGATGGTCTCTATTTGCTTATTAATATCAATGCTTGACATTATTATTATGAGTTATACTTATATTCACAACACATTACA